GGGCCTGAATGGGCTGTTGACCAGGGGCAGGGCAGGGTGGTGGGAACTGCCTCCCCGTCTGCGTGCTTTCAGTGTACAGGGGTGAATGTTGCCAGGACAGCTGGGACAGATAGGACTCTGTAGGGACCTTTAAAGTAGACAAAATAAAAATAAATAAATACAACGAAACAGGACGTGTTGTGAAACAACCAACCAAGGTTTTAGTGACACCGAAAAAGTGTCACTTCGCTATGGGTAATAGCTGCAGTTGTCCGGGTCTATTTAGTGTAATGTTGGCTACAGATAAACAGAGGTATCCGTGCTTTTTCAGTTTCTGTTTTTTCTTGTTTTTATGGAATGTGTACACATGAACTGTATGGATGTACAAAAAAATGAGTAAACAATAAAAGGGTTACAGACCGTCTGTAGTCTGGCAGAAATACAACTGCACTAACCCCACATTACCTAATAATTAATCAAATTAATTACAACACACTTGGCTGAACGAAAGACAACATGTGTGCCAAATTACATAACCATCGTGAATAATAAGTATCAGAATTGTTGATTTTTTGTTTTTTTAACACAAATCAGAAACACAAAGAAATCAAAGAAATCTGCTTCGTACAGAATAACAAAGGAGCGTCTGGATTAAGACGCACTGATGTTCACACTGATGGATGTCCTTTCCCCAGAGAGGGAGGAGGAGAGAAAGGAGCTAGTTAAGGACTATGAGAGAGTAAAGCTTCAAATCCAGTGAAATGAAGTAAGAGGATATGGATACTGGAACAATACAAGCCTGGTAAACCTCGCCAAACACTCAGTGGCGGACTGACTGGATCGCCACCTGCTGATCCATGTTATATAACACATAGGCATTTCAGATAACGAAGCAGAGGTCATGAGTGTGTGTTTCTGTAGTTGGTGTAGCTATACTCGTGGGGACCTGATGCAATTGTTCTGAGGGCAGTGTTTTCATGGGGACACACATAGCAAGAGTATTTTTTTAAGGATGTTGCACCGTCTTAATTTGTCTTTTTTTGTATTTTAGCCCTTGCACTCTGTTGTGTTTTTTTTAAGGTGTGAGGAAATGTATTATGTAATGTACATAAAGTGCTAACAAAACTGAACTTTAATGTGCTCCAGGGGGCAGCACTGAGCAGACTATATCATATCAAAGCTTTTCCATTAACCTGAGATGCTGTTTGTAAAAAAATATATTTTTCTTTTTTTTTTTACATTGAGGGAGCGTTGTGCAAAATGCCCTTGTATTAACCTGATAACAAAAGGTCACAGTGGTCGATGAAGCAATTGGAGGAGCAGTGCATGTCTTTCACACATACATTTTAACAGATCACGCAATCTGTTTGTTTTAACAAGTACCACTACTTGTTTGCACCGCAAGCCCGACACCAAACAGGCATTTGACCTTTTAAAGCCTGACAAATGACAAGGAAATTCTACATTTTTGAAAGTGAGATGTTTATGAATCATTAATACAACATTTTAAAAAAACCCATATAGTTTTGTTTATGGCATATGTTTGTATATTATCACACTGGGCAATTGCATTAAATAAATAAAAAATTAATTAAGCAAAAATGCTGCATAGACACTGCCCAGTTTGTGTTGTTAAATATGATCTCATTTTATGTGTGTCTTTACATGAGTTAAGCTTTTGAAAGGAGAAAAAATATAGAAAAAAAAAACACCATCTTCCATTTATTGTCTCTCCTATTATCTACAATTATTTCCCTTTTTTTACATAGATTATAACATTGCTCCAAATACACTGCACTGAACCGAAGTATGCGTTTAGAGTCAGTAGATGTTTCCAGAAAATGTTTCCATACTGTAGCTAAGAATACCATGAACTCTCTGATCCTGAAAAATGTTTTTATCTTAAACTTCCCTATCAGCGCCGCCGCCGTCGTCGTCTTCTTCTTCTTCTTCCTCCTCTACTTCTGCTTTGATTCTTATTCTCATCACCCTGTGACAGTTGTTTTCACACATGGTTGCTTTTCTCATCATCAACCAGCCTTTGAATGACACCATGGCACCATGCAACTTTACTTATAAACAATGCCATGACACTAAATGTTTGTACATTTAAAACAGATCTCGGTCTAAAACCTGAACTGAAAGAGCGCAACTGTGCAGTTTGCAGAGTGAACGTCAACATTTTGATAAGTCATTTAGGCCGGTACTTCTCTTGGGGGTTTCCATTGGAAAAAGCCACATAAGTGTACCACTGCTGTAATGCTGAAATGATAACAAGCTTCCAGTCACTAGGTGGCAGCAACGCATGCCAACTCACACAGTGGTTTGTACAGATAGAAACATACATGTTATCAGGTTCTCCATAGTGTTTCAATTTACGGAGTGTGGGTCGTGTGGAGGGGCAGTGGGGTTGTGTGAAAACATTTCTGTCCCCAAGGGGGGCAGAAAATAATTTATATTTGTGGGTGAAAGCAGAGGTCCAAAATAAGTCAAGATGAGTGAAGGTTGTTAATGAAACAGCAGGCAGCATATCCTGTATGTCATACTGTTATAAAGTGGTTTGGCATGACCTGGAAACAGCTGCTATAACATTGGGAGATAAGCAAGAGACGTTAGGAGAAAACAAGGAAAACCTGTAAACAGACAATTATAGCTTTCATTGATAACATGTGGCTTTAAGTTGCCTTAAAAACACACTTGGGTGACACCATGTAAATGTTAAGCTCTGCTCAGATGACACAGATAAACTCACTCAGGCTGCCTTGTTTAATCCACTCTGATGTAATGTGGGAAAAGTCTGACGTCATTAGAATGAAAGCAATCACTGGTCAGGGTTTGAAGGTTAAGTAACAGAAGCTCAAGACGAACACTACGTACTTCTGACGTAGTGTTCGCCTTGAGCTTCTGTTGAACCTTTTTGCCGATTACAACCGAAAACCCCAAATGAATTTAGTTGGCATGGTACGAAATGCCAAGACGGGGGATAATTTGTAACATGCATTACACGTAATTTATTCACTAACATATAAAGGCAGAAAATGTCACTTTAAGTAAGTACATCTTAAATGGTGGGGCGGGGCCCCCTGGAGGAGGGGAGCAGGGCGAGGGGCTTCCAATGGAATATGCCATACTGGACATAAATGTACCACTGCTGTAATGCTTGAATGATACCAAGCCTCCAGTCACTAGGTGGCAGCAACGCATACAGTGGTTAAAGATAAAAATCTACATATGATCATGTTCTCAATAGTATTTCAATACCTGCAGACGGTTGTTCCGGTCAGAAGCCCTGACCATGTCCCACTGGCTGCAGGACTTCTTTGGGACTCTGTGGCTGGTGTGACTGCTGAAGCCACCGCTGACCTCATCGTAGGGGTTCTCTACCAGGTTTTCAGAGAGGTTACTGGAACTCTGGCTGCGTGTGATCATGGGGACCACCCTGGGTTTTGCTGTTGCCGACTGAGTCGTGGAGTTTGTGAACGACCCTGGGACCGTCAGGTGTCCTGACAGGGAGGACGGATGTTTGTAGGGAAGAGAGAATCTGGACAGCAGGAGACTGTCATTGATGATGTTGTTGTTGTTCAACCCCTGGAAGGCACTATGGGAGTTAAGATTTTCCATGGAGTGGGAGATGGGTTTGCAAACTGTGGGAGGAAGAGTAAAAAAAAAAATCTTTAACAACTGCAGACAGATATTGACACAGAGAACTTTCTGTCTTAGAATTGACCTTGATGCTGTTCATTATAGGTTTGTGAAGGGCTGGAGCTGAGGGACACCTTAGGGAGAACCCTGAAGTTGGAGTTGAGAGAAGTAGACATGACCAGGCGCTGCGGTGATGGCATGGGCGTGACAGGAACCTCTGTCACATATGTAGCAGGAACATACAATGGCTTTGTTTTGCTGGCTGCTCCAATTCTCCTCACCTGTCAAAGATAGACATGTTTCCAGATAATATATCTTTTCTGTGTGAGCATTAGGTGATCAACAGTGGAAAACAACTGAATGTTCTTCTCAAATACCATATTTAGATTTGGCATGGATTCAACAATTCCAGGCCTAGTACTTCATTCACTTCGAACTGATTATGCTAATGTATCGGAGGATAGATGAACCATTTGTGTTGATATATGTTCCTTAATTATGTTCTGACATAATTAACCAACATTTTGACACTTTGTTTACTGAAGATAGAAAAGGAATTTTCATTTAAAATACACTGTTGTTGTTGTTGTTAAAGCTCTGCTCACTTTCTGTTCAGCAGATTCTAGTCAATATGCAGAGTTGAATTTTATTTCCATTTTTAACCCTGTAACGCTAAACATATCATATGTGATACATGAGTTTTACAGCCCTGCACATGAGAAGTGTGATTTTTTTTCCCCTGAAAAAACAGATGCATACAATCAGATACAGATAATCCAACAAGGAATAGTAATTCACTCATCAGCAGGTATGGTAGCACTTTTTATATTTGGAATTACAAATTTGTTAGATTGTGTGTGTTAGATGTTTATTTTGTTTGTTCAGGAAAAAATAATCTTTGAGCATTGTTACCCGATGTATCAAATATGATACAAATTGAAACTCATGTATGGAAAATGATATTTGAATTTTTTTGTGTTTGTTTGTTCGGAGGGTACAATAAAGGGTTAGTTATTTAATGGTTTGGGTTCTAATGGGTTAAAATAACATTTTAACCCATTTTATCATTGTTGTATAGATACATTTTCCATTCGCATTGGAATCTTCATATATGTATTGAGGCTTTGATCGAGCCGTGCTAACACTGCCTTCCACTCTACGGCTTATTTATTCAAACCCAACCCACAGAAGAATTGGTGACAGTACTCAAACAAAAATACTTATCAAGACATCCCTACCATATATAATGTTATTTAGTCTGGGTGTGTGAAAATGCTTTTTTCCCCTTCATATTAATAGACAAATAGTCTGGGTGTGTGAAAATGCTTTTTTTCCCCTTCATATTAATAAACAAAAAGAAAAAGTGAAAACCAACACCATTTCCTACCTGCCACCAATCACTGTTGGTTTTCTTCAAGAGAATGAATCTCTCCCCTTCCCTTATGGACACCTGTTGTCCATCAGCGCCACGGTAGTTGTAGTCATACTGGGCCTCGAGCACTACCGTACCAGTGGGGACACCACATACTGTCAACCCCCTAGAGGTCGTCACAGGAGAGGCGGCAGGCTGATGATGCCCCACGGAGCGTCGCCATGAACCTGAAAGCATGGCTCAGGAATGTCAGCCCCGTTCAGCACACTTCACCGTGTTGATATGGGACGCAGGAGATGATGGTGGTGTTCGAACAGGACAGGTGAGACTGAAGCCAGGTCAGGCCCATGATCTGAAACAGTCACGAAGAGAGAGGGAGTTAATGAATTATTGCAGTGATGAATGAATGCAGTAATTACTAACATTTACACCAAAGTACTTTTTTCTCCTCTTTAACAATAAAAACATGTTTGCTTCTTTCTTTCTACTTTTTCACAGAAAGATTAGACATTTTCTAGTGCAAACCACTATTTGTTGATCCACTAAAAGATGTTGCAGTTTTTGTATTTTCTCCAAATTTCTAGCCCTGTCTGCTGTCTCGGAACAGAATTAGAACATCACAATCATCTTCAACGACACTCAGGTACACACAGGTCTGTCGTCATTTCACTCAAAACAGTTTACAAGCAAACTGACTCAGTAAGGTTTCAGTTCTCAGGAGAGGTAACGCAGCATCTCTGAGAATGAATACACCATATATGTAGTGGTGGTGGGCCAACAGACAGACAGGCAACAGACTTTGGACGGAGAAGGAAAAGGGAGTAAATATTGAATGCCTGGAGCAGGCCAGATGGTGCGAAGAAGCACATATTTATGACGAAACAGGAAAATAAAAATAGTGAACATGAGCAGCAAAGGAAAAGATGAAGCTGTGAGCAGCCAATGACATTTCATGGCTGGGTTAGCCAGCGTGAAAAAGGGGCTGCGTGGCACATAGACACTATTTCATTTGTCAATACTGATAATGCTAGACATTTTTTAAATATATTTTTTTTGACAGAGAAGCATTGATAAAATGTAAATCACCTACCTATTCTACTGTCCTCCTCTTCAAGCTCCCCTTATCAAACCCATACATTTCTACAAGTTCTTACACCTCCAAAAACCCCCAAAAATACCTTTTCCCTCTGCCGTGAGCTGCAGTAAAAGCAGTAAAACCCAAAACGACAACATGAGCAAGCAAACAGGAAACTGAAGAGACTGAAGAGAGAGTTCAACCACAGTTTGGGTCACATCCTTTCCATCTTGACATTTGTTTTTCTGCCTTAAAACAACTTCAGTGGTTCAGTTACAGTCAGTGACAGCCAGGTTAGTCTGTGTACAAGTGATGACGAGACACTGTCGACATATCACTGCACCATTTGGGACTGAGCGCTACAAAACTGCACGGCGAAATACATGGTGATGTAAATCATTACAAGTGCATTAAGTTTATTTATTCTTCTTGTCTGACCTTTTGGAGGAACACCTCTGACTGTGCTGCCTTCTCTGGTCTGTTCTCCGCTCACAACAATGGAGTTTCAAAAGTAAAGTGTAGTAAAAAAAAAATCATAAATAATAAAATACAATTTATCTAGGGCAATAGCTGGGCGATAAAAACAGAATAAATGTCGTCATCGCCCAGCTATTGGATTGAATAAACGACAACACAAAAACCTGTTGGTGCTGTTGTCTGATTGTACTTTTCATAATAAACAGGACAATTACGTAAAAAGACAGATCTGGACCGCAGGCAGGCCGATCTGGTAGAAAGCTGTTCTTTGACTGTCAATTTCTAAATTTCTAAATATGTTCATGTGGAATAAAAAAAACTAACTAAATATGTTCATGTGGAATAAAAAAATGAATGTCATTCAAAACCAAAACATGCAGAAGTGTCATTATTGTTGTTTGCCTATTACAAAGAGGGATATAGTGCTGCATTCGCATCAACAACATGTAATTTTACACGATGCGTTTGTTATACAAAAGTGGATTTCCCAAAGTGCAGAAAGCAAAAAAAAGTACAGCACATGATCAACTCAGATATGGCTACAAACCGTGTTCATAATATAAACCGCCTTAAAATAAAACATGTTACTGGTATTTTTGGTTGCAAAAGTCAAACGGAACATTCATCCCCGGTGGATGTAATGAGATGCAGCTCATCCGTGAGTAATGATGTAAGAGCATGTTTGTATTTACAGGTCAGATGGCAGCATGGAGGACACCAGCGTCATACACCTAACACACAGAGAGGCCCATATGGTGTCAGAGACGACTGCCCTGCTGCTCAGAGACAGTCGGCAGTACACTGCACACACACTAATGATAACAAAACACATGGAAATTACAGAACAGAAATAAAAAGGACCAAAACTTCAAAAGTTCCCTAGTTACCCGCCGCTCTAGGGCCTTTCGGTCAACTTCAGACTACGTTTGCATGCGAGTCAGATCGGATTGAAGAAACAGAGAGAATTTGTTGCAAGAGAGGGCAGAAAAAAGAGGGACAGAAAGACAGAGAGAGAGGGAGGGAGTGAGAGAGAGAGAATGAAAGCAACTCACCAGGGGACTGTTGTGAGACCTGAAGGTCATCGGCTCAATCTACAGTCAAATCCATGCATGTGATAATCCTTTTGATACAAAGACATGACACAAAAACACATCGAGATGAGAGAATCTTTGAAAAGAAGCCCACTGACTGCCTCGCAGCTGAAATGGTAGAAACCGGTGACCTTTCAGCGAGAGAAAATTAAAGTGCGACTACACAGAAGTTGATGTGAAAAAGCTGAAAACCCATTCAAATTGGTCCAAGTAAGTAGCTTCCTCCTGCAGAAGAACACATCAAAAGAGTCTTTTTCTA